GTCTGCTAGTCGTACCTTTCCAAAGTCCCCAACAACTAGATTCTGCAATGCTTCACCGCTGTGGGTAGCATGAAATGAAGCACCAGAATCCATGACCCAGGAATCTACACTGCTCTCCGCACAACAGATAAACAAATCCTCGTCGCTCGCGGAGCCTCTAGCAATGTTCACTTGCTTATCCTCTTTCGGGCACTGATTCTTGAAATGCCCCACCTCCTTGCACTTCCAGCATGTTACGCCTGAGCTATCCCAAGTCTTCGATCGACTCCTTCGTCTGTTCTTGCTCCCACAACCTCTGTTATTTCCTCTACCTCTGACGATATTTATTGATTCTTCCGAAGACTCACTAGAACTCCTTCTTCTGACATCTTCGCCAAGAACGAGGTCACGAATCTTCTCAAAAGTGAATCCGTCAGGTCCCGCTGAACTGGTAACTGCTGTAATAGTTCCGGACCAAGTGTCAGGCAATGACGATAACAGTAGTAAAGCTTGAACTTCATCATCGAACTTAATGCCCACTGACAAAAGTCTGGCTAAGATCGAATTCAACTTGTTGATATGCTCGGTAACTGAAGTGCCATTTTTCATCCTTGTGTTCACCAATTCTCTAATCAGGAATACTTTGTTTGCCGCAGATGGCTTCTCGTATATGTTAGAAAGCGCTTCCATAATCCCTTTCGCTGTCGTTTCCTTTAGAATGTTGAACGCAACATTCTTGGTCAACGAGAGTCGGATCACGGACATTGCTTTCCGATCCAAACCTGCCCAATCTGCATCTGACATCTTTTCTGGCTTGTCACCCAATACCACGTCCAAATCTTTCTGAACCAGCAAATCTTCAATTTGCATTCTCCACCAACTGAAATCTGTACCATCGAACTTCTCAATTCAGAACTTCCCATCTTCTGCCATCACAAATGACTAGACAAGATACCCGGTACAACTAATTTCAGATCTTGGTTTTTTTTCGTCAGAAAATCAGGCCCACCACACCAATTAAATTAGGCAAAACAAATCAGCCCAATATCCAATAATCAGGGCCCAAATAAAAAAAGGAAAGAAACCACTACCGTTTTCTTCCTCTTCTTTGTTGTTTCGCAGGGATACAAACAGATCTGGCGACGGCGACTCCTTCTGGACGGCGTGCAATCTGGAGGACGGATGCTCTCTACCGGCTGCTGTCCTGTGTTCTCCGACAAAGCTGTGCGCGGGTCAGACGGCTACGACGGCAGCTCCTCAATTCAGCGGCGACGGCTGCTCCTCAACCCGGTGGTGGCGGATCTCAGGACAGCGGCGGCAATTCGGAAGGTGGGTACTGGGCGGCGCGGCCTGCTGCTCGCGAAGCCCTACCCAACGCCTGCGGCAGTCGGCGGGAGACCAAGGCTGCGCGACGGCGGCAGCGAGGCAACCCCAAGGCTGCGGCTCTCTCCCCTGCTGCGCGACTCACTCCGGCGCGGCCCTCACAGTGGAGACTGTTCAGATCCTAGCAGGTGCTATCACAGATCCGAATGAAACGGACGGACGCTCCTTCCTCTTCTCAGATGGCACACGGTTCTTACTCCAAGAACCCTGGTGACAGCTTCTGTGATTAGTTTCTGCTCATCGGATTTTCGATGTCTTAACGAACCAACGCTCTGATACCACTTGTTGGGAATAAACGCACGCGGAAACAACACACAATCACGAATCAACTGCAGAAAAATAAACGACACAGGATTTAACGTGGTTCGACCGCCAACTGCAACCTACGTCCACACGGGGCAACTAGGAGGATTTTATTATTTGTTGTTGCACCACAATTACAAGCACATTAGCATCTCTTAAATAGAGAATAATTAGGAGAGCACAATGATTAGGGAAGTTAGAAGCTTCTAGGTAGTTTCCTGCCAATTTCCTGTTAGTTTCCACCTAGCTTCCTGGCTTCACACTC